AATAAAAAATATATTATAAACTTCACACTACTTAAATTAAATTATTAAGTAAAAATAAATCTTTTTATATTGAGATTGTCTAATTTTTTTATTTTTTAACAAATTATAATCAAGCCAATCATACAAAGAGATAATAGAAAATGGAGATCACCGGAGACTCGAACTTCCAATTCAGAGTATGTTCCCACTAAAGCCAAGCGAAAATCCACTCCTTCCATGCGTGCGGAACGAGATTGTCTAATTTATGTTTTGCAATTTATACAGAATGAAATTGCAGAACACCTATTTCATAGTTCATCTATGACATTTATTTAATTATAATTATCATGAATCTTCAAGGATTAGTGGGATAACCCTTTCGGATTCATGAACACATTGAACCCATAAAATCAGCAACAGATGGTTTCAGTACAAGTTAGATATGTACGGCCTTGTTTGCATGCCAAAGTTAATAAACAAAAACATAAGGCGCCATTCATGTGCATTTGGAACCAATACATGAATGGATAATACTATGTACACACTTGGTCGTTACACTCCTCTTTACACCCATTAACTCTGTTACTTTCCGTTTCGTTAACTACCAGACGCATCCAAGACAACAAAGACAACTGAAACCTACAATTTCATCCTCTTCACCCAGCGTTCTCTGATTTTCAACCCTTCTTCTTTCTTTTCTCTCCTCCTTCTTTCTTTTTTTTCTTCTTTCCCTCTCCTCCCCTCTTCTTCCTTCTCTTCCCCCCTCTTTGGTCTGTTGAAGGGTTCCAAGTAGAACCCATATCCGGGTTCTCCTGTAGAACCCAGATCGGGTTCTTAGAGAACCATCTGGGTTGATGGTTCTCCAAGAGAACCCAATGGAGATGTAATCTACCTACCTGCTTATAGGCTTTAATAACATTATCATAAAAAGTATTCTTTGTTAAAAGAGAAATATATATACACATACCACATGATTCTTTCTTCAGAACCCAGATCGAGTTCTTGGAGAACCCAGATTTGGGTTCTCTCTCCAAGAACCCGAACCTATTTGGTTCTTCATAAGAAGGACGATGACGGAGAAGAGAGGAAAAGTAAAAAAAAGGGAAAGAAGGAAAGAGGAAGAAGATAATGAATTTTTATAAATTTTTGTTAAAATTTTTGCAAATTTGATAATATGGTGTATTGTTTGGTTGATAAGAAAATTATTTGGTTGATTAGGATGAGGATGGAGGTAAGGAGGAAGATGGATCTGGTTGATGAGGACAATGAACATCAAAGGAGAAAGGAAAGGAGAGAGAGAAAGAAAGGGTTACACTGGGTGGGTATGAAGTTGACGACGTAACGAAGTTGAGGGTGTAATTAACAGAAAGTGAATGGTGTAATAGAGTGTGTAGGAATAGGTAGGTGACTTATTCATTGTCCTACATGAATACAGGCTTCAGGTTAATTGGTTTAAGACTTAAAAGGATGAGGATTGAAGAGTATAGGTCTTACTCTAATAAATAGAGGGTTTTATTTAGTTTTTGTGCCATAATTCATATCATGGACGTAATTGATATATGTAATTTGTTTATATATTCTTTGTACTTATTTAGATTCTACAAAAAATATATATATATACATGGAGGAACACCTTCAAATCTACTAGCTACATTTTTAAAATTAAAAAGACTTTCCTTCCCATTTGCAAAGATTTGAATGTGAATAACCCTCTACTCATCTCTTTCTCCAACTGATTATATCACGTGCCATGTCTTATAAAAAAAAATGTATGAATTTATAGAAAAACAAAAAAATATAATGTCTTAATATTTAAAATGTTAGAACATCGAAAAAAAAATTTTTTTTGAATAATTTGTCAAGAGCGGACTCGAACTCACCAAAAGAGAGGGAGAATGCACCACAATATGATAAGATGCCACTTGATCCAAAGGGCTTGATGCGCTAAAGCATCAAATTTCAATCATATGATAAATGAGATTTAAATGAGATCTATAATATATCTTATCAATTGTGTAATTTTGATTAAATATTTTGATATTTTGATATTTTTAATATTTTGATATTTTTCACATTCTCATGAATTAATAAATTACTATCTAGTTAGCTTAAGCCCCTGTTTTCTTTTGGCCAAAGCTTAAGGACAGACTTGGCCTATGCTCTTTTTTTCTTTCGTACTTATGGTAAGTTGAAGACCCATGAGGCCATGATTCGACCTTCTCGGCCCCAAATGCTCCGGGTTTACTCCACGTGTCACGTGGCAAAAGCCTACCTTCACTCCTACATGTCATCTCATCCCGTACGTAAACCCACCCTGAATTCTGCAAATCAAACTCATTTCTCCATTTTTATACTAATTAATTAGACAATCAGCCACAAATTCCGCCCTTAAAATTTTTTCAACACATGCAACCCTATGATCCTCACATTTTTTGTCGTTTCCAATCAATGATTTCAGCTGCACTCCCCCCATGGCCCCATCACATGTCTTAGTCTTATAGCTTATCACATGTCACTGGCCGTACATATCATATAGATCGAGGTCCATGCACGAATAGAATTGCGGTTCAAATTGATGGAACCATTGTTGCTCCCACGGATTTTCGTGCACTTGGGAACTCTGGTTATTGGATTCTGTTCGTTCAGGTAGATAGGGTTTCTGTGTTTGGTGGCATTCTTGATGCCATGGGAGCTGGATTTTGGGCGTGTTGGCCATCCGGGAAGAACTGTGGATTTTGGGCGTGTTGGCCATCCGGGAAGAACTGTCCTAATGGAGCTAGGATATGTTAATATATTTTACTTTAAAGAAACAAAATTAAATTAAGTTTGTTTATTTATGTTAAAATGTGTTGTGTGTTTCATATATATTGCAGTCAATCACATTCAATTGGGCCAACAACATTGTGATCAGTGGCTTAAGATCGATCAACAGTCAGCTCAGTCACATTGTAAACAACAATTGCAACAATGTCATGGTAAAAAATGTGAAGCTCTTTGCGCCAGATCAGAGTCCCAACACTAACGGCATTCACGGGCAGCACTCTACCAGAGTGACAATCACCGGAAGCGGACTTCATACTGGAGACGATTGCATATCAATTGGTCCAGGCACAAAGAACATGTTCATGAACAATATTTAGTGTGGCCCTGGACATGGTGTAAGGTACTAGAAAACTAACCAACAATTTAAATATTTTGTTTAATTTTGAGATTTGAATGATTGGAATCCTTTAACAGCATCCACGTGAATGCGGCAAATCCTGTCTTGAAAATAACTGGGTCTACTTACCTTAATTTTACCTATTAAATTGTTTGGAAGCAATTATAGGTTGATAATAAAATGTCTTCTGTTTTTGTTTCAGCATTGGTAGTCTAGGACGGGTTCTCAATGAGGCTGGCGTCCAAAACATAACATTAAGGGATGCAGTTTTTATGGGATCAGACAAGGGAGTAAGAATCAAGACATGGGTGAGGCAGAGCAACGGCTTTGTAAGAAATGGCATCTCCTATCAACAATCTGTTGATTTGTATCGAAGGAGCTCGATTTCTCTTAAGTCGGTTTCGAATTCGAATCTTGAAAATAAAAAAAAAAAGTGCTTGAGAGTTTTCACTTAATGATATCTTAATCAGCTCGATTTCGAATTAGTCAAGATGTAACATGATTATCAGATACCGAAAAGTTAATATTAAACAAAAAAATATATATATATATATATATCATCTTCCAAAACATCATTGTGAACAATGTTGAGAACCTTATCCTCATGGATCAAAAGTACTGTTCAAACAGTCAAGCTTGTCCTCGTCAGGTAATACAAATATATCATTAGTAGTTACGAAAAAAAAGGATACACAATAACACAATTAAGCTTATCTTCCTTAAATTGTTGTTTGTTTAGCTGAGTTCAGGCGGTGAAGATTAGTGGAGTAACGTACAAGAACATAAGAGGAAAATCGGCGACGGCGGGGCTGTAACGTTTGACTGCAGCCCAAGTAATCACTGTAGAGGGATAAGATTACAAGACATAAAGCTTACTCACATGAATAAAGTGCCAACTTCATCCTGGAAGAACGTCCATGGAACTAGCAGTGGAGTAGTCGTGCCTCTCAGTTGTCTGTAACTATGAATAATTAACAATTAATCCATGTCCTCCTCCTGTATTTCTCAAATTCCATGTTTCAGGAAAAATTAAAAAATGAAAAAGACTAATGTGGGCCGAGATTACATCTCCATTATTGGGCTAAACTTTGTAATCCAGGAGGTCCATTTTTTGCTGGGTCACTGGGCTGAACTTAATTAAACATTTTTTTCTTTTCTTTTTTTTTTCGGTAAAGTGCGCGTCAGTCCTGCCTCCCAAAAAAAAATTGGAGTCCCAACCAAAACGACGTCGTTTCCTTAATCCCCAGCTCCTCCTTCCTCTTGACCCTTCTGCAATCATCTGTGTCTCCATCTCAATCGACTCCTCCAATTCCTTCAATAACAACTAACAGAACAGAACAGCCGCAATCCAACAAGCTAGAAGCCAAACATCGTCGCAACTCGGCATACAACTCGGCATACAACTGTATAAAACTACCATGACAAAGCTCGAATCAATCAAATGCCTGAAACTGATGAACTCAACCAAATGGAAATCTCTAACTTCAGTTCAAAAAAAAAAAAAAAACAAATGGAAATCGAAAGAAATTCAAAATTAAAAGAGGGGGATCAAAATAGCATAACAATTTGTGGAGAAAGGGAGAAGCGGAGGAGAAATGGTTTTGAAGGAGGGAATTGATGGAGAAAACTGCTTCCTCGAACTATTGTTTCTTCCCGAGCTGCTTCTGCAACTCCTCCAATCGCTGCTTCAAGCTTTCCTCAGAAGAAGACGACATTTTCCCTGCTTCTTTTTGCCCTTCTTTTTGCGTCGTTCTGTTATGTTCTCTTAATCTAGGAGTAAGATTTTTTCTAACTTTTTTGGGTTGATGGAGCTTAATAAGAAAACAAAGCACTTACCGTCCTTCGAAGAAGTAGGGGTTACCGTCGACGAAGATGATGAATTGCAGCGGTAGAATGGGGTGAAAATACTGGGTGCTGGGTATTAAGTCGATGGCGTGGGATTGCGTTTGAAAAATTGAAGGAATCGGAGTCGTCGATGGAGATGGGAGGCGATGGAGATGGAGATGGAGATGGAGATGATTGCAGAAGGGACGAGGAGGAGCTAGGGATTAAGGAAACGACGTCGTTTTGGTTGGGACTCCAATTTTTTTTTGGAAGTCAGGACTGACGCGCACTTTACCGATATATATATATATATATATTTATTAAGAGAAATGATTCAAGAAAAGAAGAATGAGAAGAGGGATTGAACTTTTACCGTAATAAAAAACATTTACATTAAATTAGTGAGCCACTGGCCCGACAGGCCTTCTTCAAACTCGGATAAGTTTTAACAACGAGGAAAGAACTGAGAAATTGTCCAAGTCGTTAGCAAAACTGTTGGGCTTAATAAAATATGTACTGCAAGAGGCCAAAAAATTAAAAATGAAAAGACATGGGAATGGTACGACAAACCAGAAAACGCCAAGAATTCATTGTGGCAGATAATTGGAAATCAATTTAACTTTTGGACAAATTCAAAAACTTTACAGGTCACTAAACTAATTAAACAAATGTCGTTTGATTTGCTTGTCGATTTGATTAGTTAGTTATCCTACAAATTACCCAATAAGCATGCTGTAACATGGGAAACAATATTATTCTATTCGGGAAACAATAATAATCTTAATTTAATTTTTAAAATTTTAAAGGTATAAAAATTTAGATAAAAATATTAATTTAATAAATAAGTAATAATTAAAATTTTTTATTAAATAAAACTATTAAGTAAGAATTATATATATATAACTTTTAATTGAAGTTTTCCTCCTTTTTTCTTTTTTTTAAAGTAAATCATGAGATTAGATTAAAGAGTAACAAACTCCACATATACAACGAAGCTAGTTCCTTGGAAAAAGCAATTCTCTCCATGTCAACATTGAAATACAACAGAAGGCCGGAATCGCAGGCATCAAAATAAGCATGTGTCCACCATACATAAATCTTGTATC